GTACTGAGAAATCGAACCCAGTGCTTGGTGCATGCTAGGCAAGCGCTCTACCACTAGGCCACATTCCAAGCCCAACCACTGCTATTTATTGGGTTGGAAACATTTGGGGTTTGAATTTATTCTCAGATAATATTGTTTGAATATAAGTTGCCACAAACAAAGTTGTTTTGAAGCAACTTCTATTTCCTCAGCAGTAGGGGTTGAAAGTCCGAAGTAAAGTCAGCAGCACCATACCAATCCCTCGGGAGGCACTGAAAATCCTTCCTTTGGCTGATCTGGTTGTCACCTGAAACCCTTTGTTGTCCTTGGTTTGTAGCTACATCACTATATGTGGCTGACTATCTCTGTAGTATGTGTCCCATCCTCTAAACTCAACAGTCATGTATTAACTATTGAACTCAGTACACAATTTCCATTATCCTAGTTGGTTTGGTTTGAATTTAGACAGAAAGGGGTGCAGTGTTGGTATTTACTACTGACATAAGCATTTGCTTGGCTTTGGGGAGAAAATTAACTATCTCTATGGTGATGGGAAACATTGCCAAGTTGCCTCCAGAACTGTAGACCTAACTTAGTGGCTTTGGCCACCAATTTATTTATTTATTTATTTTTTGGTCAGTTGTGGGGCTTGAACTCTGGGCCTGGGCGCTGTCCCTCAGCTCAAGGCAAGTGCTCTACCACTTGAGCTACAGTGCCACTTCCGCTTTTCTGGTGGTTTATTGGAGATAGGAGTCTCACGGTCTCCTGCCCGGGCTGGATTTGAACCGCAATCCTCAGATCTCAGCCTCCTGAGTAGCTAGGATTACGGGCATGAGCCACCAGCGCCCGGCACCAATTTATTTTTTTTTCTTGTCGGTCTTGGGGCCTGAACTCGGCTTGGGCACCGTCCCTCAGCTCTTCAGCTCAAGGCTAGCTCCTTAGCACTTAAACCACAGCGCCACTTCCGTGTTTTTCTGCTTATGTGGTGCTGGGGAATCGAACCCAGGGCCTCATGCATGCGGGACAAGCACTTTAACACTGAGCCACCTTCCCAGCCCCAGGCCACCAATTTCTAGCTGCTCAAATGGTTGAGGTTTAGATGGTCTCAGTTTGAGGCCAGCATGTGCAGTAAAGTCCATAAGATTCCAAAGTAAGCAAAAGGCTGCGTTGGGTCATGATGTGAGTGGGAACAGAAAAGCAAGCATAGGACCCTGAGTTCAACACTGGTGCCCATAAGTTCCCCTCTCCCTCACTGTTGTGGAACACTTAGTTATCTTTTTCCTTGAGAGCTTATTTGGGATGATAGGTGAGGGGAGACTGGTCTGGGAAACTACAAAGTGCTGGATTATTGCAGATCCTACCTTTGTGGGATCTTGGTATAATAGGATCATCAAGGAAAGCAATGATTTTTTTTTTTAATTCTAAAATCTCTCATCTTAGGGTGTGGGGCGAAGATACGCTCATGTGGTGTTGAGGAAAGCAGACATTGACCTCACCAAGAGGGCTGGAGAACTCACAGAGGATGAGGTGAGAACCCTGACTGGGAAGGGAATTGGGACCACCTTTAAAAAGAGAAACCTACATCTCAGTTCATACCCTCTGCTAGGTGGAACGTGTGATCACCATTATGCAGAATCCACGTCAGTACAAGATTCCAGACTGGTTCTTAAACAGACAGAAGGATGTAAAGGATGGAAAATACAGCCAGGTGTGTGGCTGAAATGTTGGGGAATGGGCTTAGTATCTCCAATTAACTGCCAGAAAACCGGAAGTGGTGCTGTCGCTTGAGTGGTAAAGCACTTGCCTTGAGCTAAAGAGCTCAGGGATAGCACCCAGGCCCAGAGTTGAAGCCCCACGACCCACTAAAAACAGAAAGAAAAAGAAATGGGTCTAGGATGTCAGGAAGTAAAATATGCTCCTCATCTAAATCCAGGTTCTGGCCAATGGTCTGGATAATAAGCTCCGTGAAGACCTGGAGCGGCTGAAGAAGATTCGAGCCCATAGAGGGCTGCGCCACTTCTGGGGGTGAGTTGGGGTGGCCGGTACCTGCCTGTCGCTAACACTATCAGCAGTGATTCCTTGTGCTGTCTTCAATTTTTTGAAATATTTTCCAAGTGCTGTACATACACTGATCTTTCTCTTTTCACCTGCAGCCTTCGAGTTAGAGGCCAACACACCAAGACCACTGGACGCCGTGGACGCACTGTGGGTGTGTCCAAGAAGAAATGAGTAGGCCTTTTCTGTTAATAAATAGTTTATATACTGATGGCTTCTTGCTTTGTGCTTCATTTTTTTTCTCCTGATAGAGGAGATGCTGAACCCTGTTGGTTAATCATCTAGCAGAATATTGCCCATGCTCCATAAAACAGTAGGTTGTGTTAAACGCAATAGCAAGTGTTTCACATCAGAAATAGCGGAAAGTAAGCCGGGCACTGGTGGCTCATACCTGTAATCCTAGCTACTCAGGAGGCTGAGATCTGAGGATCCAGGTTCAAAGCCAGCCCGGACAGGAAAGACTCATACCTCCAATAAACCACCAGAAAACCGGAAGTGGCACTGTAGCTCAAGTGGTAGAGCACTCACCTTAAGCTGAAGAGCTGTGGGACAGCACCCAGGCCCAGAGTTCAAGCCCCACGACCGACAAAAAAAAAATAGGGGAAACTTTTGCCAACTTCTATTTCACCTCCAGAGTACTGCCACACCTAAATAATTCGGGGCGGGGGGGGGGGGGGGGGGGGGAGGGGGCTGTATGGGCCTTGAATGCAGCTTGTATACTTCCCCTGAGTATTTATGCTCAAGGCTATTGCTCTGCCACAGCTCTGCTTCCAGCTGTTTGTTCCTTGGGTGTGACTGTCTCACAGACTTACATGCCAAACAGTATTCTCAGATCTCGAGCCTGAGTAGCCAGAATTACCAGTCCTGAACCAGTGGCACCCAGTCTGAAAAACAATACTTTTTATGTGAAAGCTTCCTCCTTCAGCTTGGGACCATCTAGAGCCAACAGTTTGAAGGTGGCCTGGGGGTTGGGCTGCACAGCGCTTGTGAGACGAGGTTCATAGTAAAACCAGGTTCTGCTTGGGTGAGTTGCCCTGCGTCTAGAATTGGGGCTCACGGGAAAGTCGCCCCGATGGACGTACAGTTCCCTCAAGACTAGAGAAGACATAAAGCAGAAAGGTGGTTTTCGGGAGCGAAGCCGCGCCACTTCCGGCACGGGGGGATGATGGGAGTGGGTGGGGCCTGGCAGCCAGTCACGGAGCACAGCCAGGCAACGGTCCTGGCTGTCGGTCCCGCCGAGTCCCAGCGCCTGTGGGCACAGGCACGTGCCCCTGCAACCCACCCTCAGCCCGCTGGAGCCGGACGCCGCCATGCCCCTCAGCCCCTTCCGCCGCCTCCTACTTGCTTCCCTGCTGCTGGTGATGTTGTGGACGCTCTTCGGGCCCTCGGGGGTTGGGGAGGAACTGCTGAGCCTCTCATTGGCGTCTTTCCTCCCGGCCCCCGCCTCACCAGGACCTCCCTTAGATCTGCCGCGCCTTTTGATCCCCAACCAGGAGGCCTGCAGGGTTCCAGGCGCCCCACCTTTCTTGCTGATTTTGGTGTGCTCAGCTCCAGGGAATCTGAACCAGAGGAATGCCATTCGGGCCTCGTGGGGTGGGCTGCATGAGGCACGGGGCCTCCGGGTGCAGACGCTCTTCCTGCTAGGAGAACCCAGCAGGCAACAAGAGAACTACTTGGCCCAGGAGTCAGTGGCCAAGGCGGACATCTTGCAGGCTGCCTTCCAGGACTCCTACCGCAACCTCACCCTCAAGACCCTCAGTGGGCTGAACTGGGCAGATAAATACTGCCCCATGGCCCGCTACATCCTCAAGACCGATGATGATGTTTATGTCAACGTTCCTGAGCTGGTGTCTGAACTGATCCTGCGAGGGGGCCCTCCGGAAAGATGGGACAGAGGTCTGGAACCCCACAAAAAGGCCAACGTTATGAATGAACAGCAGAAAGGTGGCCAGGCCTCAAGGAGAGAGAAAGTGCCTCTCCTGTACCTGGGCCGAGTGCACTGGAGAGCTAGCCCCTCTCGGGCCCCGGGGAGCCGGCACAGAGTGTCAGAGGAGCAGTGGCCTGACACCTGGGGTCCTTTTCCACCATATGCCTCAGGCACAGGGTACGTGCTGTCTGCTTCTGCTGTACAGCTCATACTCAAGTTGGCCAGTGGAGCACCCCTTCTGCCACTAGAGGACGTGTTTGTAGGGGTAAGTGCTCGCCGAGGAGGCCTCACCCCAACCCATTCAGTCAAGCTGGCTGGTGCCACCCACTACCCCTTGGACAGGTGCTGCTATGGGAAATTCCTGCTGACATCCCACAAATTGGATCCCTGGAAGATGCAGGAAGCCTGGAAGCTACTGCATGGATTACATGGGGAAAGAACTGCACCTTTTTGCTCCTGGCTTCAGGGATTCCTGGGGATCCTGCGGTGTCGGTTCATGGCCTGGCTTCATAGTTGACAACGCATGGAGCTGTCAGAGTAAGGAGCTACCTGTCCAGCCAGCACCAAGACCTCTTTCAGGCCCTAAGGACTCTTGTTGGCTAAAGCGGATTAACTTCCTCATACCAGACTGAGTCTGTCTCCAGATAGGAGCTTGGAGTTTGGCTTGCCAGCCCCAAAGATGGTCACCAGATATACAATAATAAAAATCCTGGGACTGTTCCATTTCCTGAGCCAGGGAAAAAGAGGGGCATGTGCTCCTCAATAAAACTTGCTTCTCCACCCTTTTAAGTGCCATGTGTCCTCACCAGAACTCCCAAGACATACCTAGAAAACTGAGGGGCCAACCCTGATGGGTAGGAAGAGCACTCCCCCAGGGACAGAGAGGAGAAAGCACATAATCTGGAGAGGAAGGCCTGAACAGGCCACAACCACAAGGTAACTGAAGTAGGAAAATGGAGGCAGGACACTGACCCCTCTGGGCCTAGATAGTCCCATGTTGGCAAAGGGCAGTAGAGGCCCACAGGACATTTGAGGCATATTACAAAAACCTTGTTTTCTTTAATACCAACCCACCCAAGGACCTAGTTGTCTACACAGTTGGGAAAAGGGACACATGTCCCCTCATTCCAGGAAATAGTTATTTCCCTGCGGGTGATCTTAGGAAGAGGTTGTTCCCAGGCCACCCTGGAGCCTGGCTCAGCGCACAAATCTGTCCAGTGCAGATGGTCGGGCCCCTGTGGGCTTAGCTTTCTCTTGTTTCTGCTGTTGCTTCTGTTGCTGCTCAAGACTCTGTCTGACTTTGTCCTAGAAACAAATGAGGAGACACAGGGAGAGGTGACCAGTGGCTGCTAGCAAGATCTGGCATATAATCAGGAGAAAGCTGCAGACTGGGAGGCCAGGCGAACCCCAAGGTTCCTTTACCCTGTGCTCCTTGTCCATGACCTTCTTCTTCCTCTTCACCAGACTTGCTGTGGAGCTGCGGCCCTTCTGCTTCAGCCTGGGCTGGAAGGGAGCCTTGGCATCCGGGTCATAACCCTGAGTGAGTGGACAGGAGTAAAATTAGTAACAACTACCTCCTGAGACACAGAACTGGGGGCAAGCCCAGAGTAAAGGGAGGAATGTAGGGTGGGAGAAGGGTCTCGATGCTCAGGTGCTACTCCATACCAGCCTCTCTATCCGCTCCTTCTTTGCTTGCTCCAAAGAGATGACATCTACCTCTGCCAGAGCTCGGGGGTCCAGACAGATGAGCTCTGCAGGTACCTGAAAGTGTCACAGAGGGATAGGTATGGATTAATGAGCCACGGGAAGGTAACACCAGGAAGGCGCAAAGGCCAAAGAGACTGCTGAACCCTATCTCCCCAAAAACCCCAGATAGGGGATCACTGAGCTCTCTCTTTCTCCTAGCCTTGGCTCCAGCAGGTAGCTCACCTTCTCCAACAAGGCCTTCACCTCCCATTCCTGGCGCTGTTTCCGGCTCCTGTATGGGTTATTCTCCAGGCCATCAAAGTTGGGCTCAGCAGCCCCTGGCAGGGAAGGAGAGGAAACCATAAGGAAGAACCTAGTCCTTTAGCTCCAGCCCAACCATGTTCCCTACCCACTCTTGACCGTTTCAGGCCCACACACATTTCACCCAGTTGTCACTTTCTGCATTGTCTGTCCCCTAGCCCACTTACCAGGGACCAGCATGCTGGTGATTCCCACACTGTGCCCAACTCCCAGCACATCTTCAAAGGGGCAGAACTGAAGGTCATGCACATGGCCTGAGAGCCGGTGAGTGAGGTAGGGCTGCTCCAGGGAGGGTGGGCTGGCCTTGCCCTGCCCTGCCCATATGTTGACAACGTCACCCATGCCCGCAACCAACAGTCCCCGCTGGGAAAAAGCCACATGCCCTGCTCCCTGGGGCAAGGTCCGAGCACTCAAGGGCTGGAATGTCCCTCGCAAGTCAAAAATCTTCAGCTGGTGGTCCAGGCCAGAGGTAGCCATGTACCTGGGGGGAGAAGAGGGAATCAATTCATCTGTCAGCACTAAGGCCTGCAGCCAGGTGCAAGTGTTCACATCAGGACAGGAAGGAAAACACTAATAATATCCTCTACCATTACACTAACTCTCCCAGTAAGTTTCACACACACTATATATATGTGTCCCTTTTATAAATAAGGAGACTGAAGTTAGAAAAAGGAAATCGGAATCATTGAGTAGTCAAGTCAGGGCTTTTTTTTTTTTTCCCTTTGATGGTTGTGGGCCTTGAACTGAGGACCCTGTGGTTAACTAGAGTCTCACAAGGACTTTTCTGCCTGGACTGGTTTCAGACTGCAATCCTCAGATCTCAGCCTCCTGAGTAGCTAGAGTTACTGGCATAAGCCACTGGCACCCAATCAGGGCTATTATTTTTCTTTTTTCTTTTTTTTTTTTTTTTTTTGGTCAGTCGTGGGGTCTGAACTCTGGACCTGGGTGCTGTCCCTCAGCTCTTCAGCTCAAGGCTAGCACTCTACCACTTGAGCCACAGCGCCACTTTTGGCTTTTTCTGCTTATGTGGTGCTGAGGAATTGACTTAGGGCCTCATGCATGCAAGGCAAGCATGCTACCACTGAGCCACCTTCCCAGCCCCCTATTACTTTTCTTTTTACATATACATTTGTTGTTGTTGTTTTATGTCTAGGGTCCTACCTATTATCACCATTCTACCCTCTTAAGATCTAAGGGAGAACACATGTCAAGATACACCTAAATATGGTGTCCTATACTGCATAGCAGCTCAGCAAACAGCAGATGCAGTCATCAGAGAAGAGTTCCCTATACACTAATAAGTGCTAATAAAACATGTAAAAATTAAAAAAAAAGACTTCTCTGGAATAATGGGATCTGGACAGTACTTAGACCAAGTCAGATACATTAACACCAATGTAGATACAGTGAGACAGAAGCAGGTTTATGGACAGATTGATGGGAAATGTGGCAAGTATGTTAAATCAAGAGGAGACAAAGGGGGCTGGGAAGGTGGCTCAGTGGTAGAGTGCTTGCCTTGCATGCATGAGGCCCTGGGTTCGATTCCTCAGTACCACATAAGCAAAAAGAAAAAAGCTGGAAGTGGCACTGTGGTTCAGATGGTAGAGCACTAGCCTTGAGCTAAAGAGCTGAGGGACAGTGCCCAGGCCCAGAGTTTAGGCCCCACGACCAGACCCCCCCCCAAAAAAAAGGAGACAGTAGGGCTTCCTTAAAGTCCAACTAAGGAATACTCATTGCTCATTAGCCCAACACTGCTGTAGGTAGCAGTGACAAGTCACAAAGTGAAGACCACATCGACTTTTAAGAAAAGCTACTTAGAAGCCGGACACTGGTGGCTCACACCTATAATCCTAGCCACTCAGAAGGCTGAGACCTGAGGATTGTGGTTCAAAGCCAGCCCAAGCATGAAAGCTCTTGAGACTCTTATCTCCAATAAACCACCAGAAAACCAGAAGTCCCATGACTGACCAAAAAAGAAAAGAAAAAAAAGCTACTTAGAAAGTAGGCAAGGGGCTGGGAAGGTGGCTCAGTGGTAGAGTGCTTGCCTTGCATGCATGAGGCCCTGGGTTTGATTCCTCTGCACCACATAAGCAAAAAAGAAAAAGGCCAGAAGTGGCGCTGTGGCTCAAGTGGTAGAGCGCTAGCCTTGAGCTGAAGAGCTGAGGGACAGCGCCCAGGCCCAGAGTTCAGGCCCCACGACCGGACCAAAAAAAAAAAGAAAGTAGCAAAGTGGGGCGGGGGGGGGGGGGGGGAGGATGGGAAGGGATGGGAAACAAAGGAGGAGGCTACAATGCTTGATAAGAAATGTACTCATTATCTTGCCCATGTAATTGTAACCCCTCTGTACAGTATTTCACAATAAAAATAAAAATTAAAAAAAAAAGAAAGTAGCAAATTACAACTCAGCTCACTGTCTCTGCTTTCCCTGCAACACTGGTTACCAAATCTTTTCCAAGAATAATGCACTATGTAAGTAGATTACTTTCAGAGATTGGAAGTTCTAGTTCAAGTTGTTCTGTGGAGAAGCTGAAAAGGGGAATTAACCAGGCCAGAGGACATGTTTGTCAAAGGGCCAATGATTCTTTCTTTAGGCCTCTGTTGTGACCCAGGAAGGGACCAAACAGTTACTGTGAGAGAGATTCACCTTGGAAGTTACCAGGGACCCAAGAGGGCCAGCTGTGTTTCTGACAGGACAACCTGAGCAAAAAAGCCAGTAGTACAGTAGTGTGGAACTGAAGATCATGCATATGTAGTGAAAACTAGGAATGACTGTAGGGGCCAGCAAAACTCTTGGGCAAACCAATGGCTCAACTCCAGGGCAAATACCAGTTTGTGGGAATCTGTAAATGCTGAACCATGAGCTCTGATCATAAGAATTAGAATGCCATTTTCTTAATTCCCAGAAGGCTGGGAATAGTCTGAAAAATATCAATCTCTTCTAGCATTACAGAGATTTAATATGTGATTTAATCAGAACCTAGACTTTCCTGGACCTTGTTTGCTGCCTGCCTTTACTTTCTAAGCTCAGGAAGTCACTCATCCTAGGAATGTTTCACATGCTGGTGTCTGTAACTTCAAAGAAATTGCTACCTGACTTTCTGCATCTACTACCCTGTCCCAAAATCAATAAAGACCTTTTTAATGGGACCTTGGGGTGTCTGTAGCTAGCGAGAGGGACAGGCCCCCTGGTGCCCCAAAACCAGTTTCACGGTCTGGCTTCTGTCACTGCCTTGTTCCCAGAGCCCAGTCACAGTGGGTTAAGGTGGTCGCAATGGGTTAAGGCACTTGCAGCAGTTTGCAACACAGGTTCTCCTCAATAAATAACCCACCCCAAGGTAAATACCAGCCCAGCAACTAGATAGCATTCAAGGTCACACTGCTAGACTACTAAACTTGCAAATGACAAGTTGGTCTTGACAAGCCAATCCACTTAAATGCCATTGTAAACTTCAGAAAGCACCTTGAGGAATTGGAAAAGGCCAGCTTCACCCAAAGCCCATGGCCTGCAGAGCCTGCTGGAAGAGCTGCTGTTGAGGACCAAGGATAAGCAGAGACAGGCCTAAGATCAAAGACCAGAGCTGTCCAGAATCACAGTGTTGAAAACCCTATGTTTTCAACAGTGAACTAAGTGATCAAGACTTGGGCACAGTGGCTAGCCCAGGCAGTCTGTGCACAAATGACAGAAAGCTTTAGATAAGACTCTTCACTCTCTAGAGCCAAGCGAACACAGCTAGGAAGTAAAAAGGACAGAACCAAATCATTTTTCCCAAAGATACAATTATGAAAGCCAAGGGGTCTTAACCTGAAAGGATCAGTAAGTTGGTAGCCACTTGCCTTTGTTTGGCAGTACTCTGATTGAACTCAGCCTCAGATGGGTTTCTTCAGAGATTCACATTAACAGTAACATTTGAAGATTTGGATCCATCAGTTGGACACTGGTGACTCACACCTGAAATCCTAGCTACTCACAAGGCTGAGATCTCAGAATCACAGTTTGAAGCCAGCTGGGACAGGAAAGTCTGTGAAACTCTAATCAGCAAACTGCTGGATTGGACATGGCTCAAGTGGTAGAGAAAAAAAAAAAAAAGCTAAGACTTCAAGACCTATAGTTCAAACCCCAGTACTGGAAAGGAAACAAAAAAAGAGAGAGAGAAAAAGAGCCGGGTGCCAGTGTAACCCTAGCTACTCAGGAGACTGAGATTTAAGAATCATGGTTCAAAGCTAGTCTAGGCAGAAAAAATCCATTGATAAAAGTAAGATGCTTATTTCCAATTAAGCACTCAAAATCAGAAATGGAGCTGTGTTAGCTTTGAGCAAAAGAGCTCAGGTCCTGAGTTCAAGCCCTACAACTGACCCTGCCCCCACCCATCCCCCCCCCAAAATGGAGTCTAATATTCCAAGAATATTATGATGGTCATTATACTTTAAATTTTCACCATCTAAAGACTTTTTGTTTTTTTTGGGTCTGGTCGTGGGGCCTGAACTCTGGGCCTGGGCACTGTCTCTTAGCTCTTTAGCTCAAGGCTAGCACTCTACCACTTGAGCCATAGCGCCACTTCCGGCTTTTTTCTTTTTGCTTATATGGTACTGAGGAATCGAACCCAGGGCCTCAGGCATGCAAGGCAAGCGCTCTACCACTGAGCCACCTTCCCAGCCCATAGAGTGCTTGCTTAACATGTGTAAAGTCCTTCAATTCCTCAATACCACATAAACCGAAAAAGTTGGAAGTGGCGCTGTGACCCAAGTGCACTAATCTTGAGCACAAGGAGCTCAGGGACAGTGCCCAGGCCCTAAATTCAAACCCAGGAATGGCAAAAATTAAAAGAAAAAGAAAGATATTTTAACAATTACTTTTTCTATTGCTATTTAAGTACCTCTTTGTTAAGCAAAGCCTAAAATATTTATCTTTCTAAGATGACCCCGAATTAGACTCATATCTCCACTCAGGATTAGGAACTGGCACACAGAGGTTAAAAGCTATGTGCCCACACTTATATGATTGGTGAGTGATAACCCAGAACCTATGCCCAGCAGCCAAAGTGAAGTCCATGACCCAAATACCTCATCTTCAAACAAGTGACTTACGTGCCTGTAGAATCTACTGCCACAGCCCGGACTGCACCACGGTGACAAAGAATCTTTGCCAGTGGCTCCTTCACAGCTGGACTCCATAAAGACACAGTACCTGGAAAAAAAGAATTAGAATTATCAACACAACACCTTTGACTATTAAACAGGTAAAGGACCAGGGGTTGGTAGATCACACTTGTAAATCCTAGCTACTCAGGAGACTGAGAGCTGATGATCAAAGTTCAAAGGGAGCCTGGGAAGACAAATCGGAGACTTACCTCCAGCTAGCCAACAAAAAGCTGGAAATGGAGCTTAGTGATAGAGTGCCTGTGTAGCATGCATGAAGCCCTGCGTTCAATTCCTCAGTACCATATAAACAGAAAAGGCTGGAAGTGGCACTGTGGTTCAAGTGGTAGAATGCTAGCCTTGAGCAAAAGGAGCCCAGGGACAGTGACCAGGCCCAGAGTTCAAGCCCCAGTACTGGCAAAAACAAAAGTTGACAAGACTCCATCTCAATCTGTGGCTGGGCACATCTGTCATCTCTAGTGACATGGAAAAGCACAAATTGGGGAATTGCAGCCCAGGCTTGGTAGGCCCAAAATAACCAAGGCATAAAAGGAGCTGAAGATGTGGCTTATATGACAAGATGCTTAATCTCAAGGACTGTCCCCTCAAAAAGCAAGCCTCAGGACTCACCATTACTGTGTCCAAGGTGGATGACAGCATTGTAAGGGTTCTGAGCCATGACACTCAGCCGTCCAGCCCGAGCATTCAGAGCTGCCACAATCTTCCCCACTGACACATCCAAGTAGGTCAGAAATCCTGTCTCTGACTAAGAACGAGAGAATAACTGAGTATGGGGGGCTGTATTGTCTTCCCTCTACTGAAGCCCTAGAGGAAAAAGATTCCCAAGGACTGCCATCAGGCCCTATATTCCACAGCCACTCACAGCTGTGGCCAGGAGGAAGTGGAAGGGCAGGAATTCAAGCCGTGTTACTCGGTCACAGCGGCGGATGCAATGGAGCTCGATGCCCTGGTTGTCATAAATGTAAAGCCAGCGGTTCTGAGCAACAGCAAAGAGTGTCTCAGAATGGAGAAACCTGGGGGGAAAAGAAGAGTGGTTCGATGGGAAATGGAATCCCAGGTTGTCACTCAATGGAATGGCTGTTCTCACCCCCCACTGACCAACAACAGAGAAGACACTGACTGGATGTCCCGCACTGCCTCCATGACGTTGATTTCACATGTTAGCTTCTTTGTCACCCAATCGAGGGCAGCCACATGACCCCGACGCCCTCCAAAAGCCAGGTGTCTGTTGGAGATGAAGGAAAGGCATGGTATGAATGCAAGGCAGCACTGTGACTCAAATATTTTGAGGTCTTCCTCATGCTAGCTTCTCTCCAGGGAAGAGGAGATGTGTTCCTATAGATGTTCAATCTCCTCATCAACAATCGAAACACATATGGCACAGCCAGTGAGGTTAAGGAAACATGACAAGTTCAAGAGTCACTGAAGGCTAGGAAACTAGCTCAGTGGCCCAGCATCTTTATTATGAACAAGACCCTTGGCTCAAGTCCCATCACCACTACCAAAGAAAGAAAGAGAGAAAGAAAGGGGGGGGAGGGAAGGGGGATAAGGAGGGGTGCTGGTGATTCATGCCTGAGATCTGAGGATTGTGGTTTGAAGTCAGCCCAGGAAGTAGAGCTGTTGCTCAAGTGAAAAAGCTAAGGGTAAGTACCCAAGTTCCTGAGTTCAAACTCCAGCACTGATACAAAAAAGAAAAAAGAAAAAAGCCAGAATTCAACTTTACCTCCCAGTCTGAGAATAGTTCAGTCTGTAAGGTCCAAACTGTCGAAGATTCAAACTAAAGTGCTAAGAAAAGGAAGAGTAGAAAAAAGAAAAAAAATCAAGAAAAGAATGGCTTCCCCTCAGTAAACCACTGTGCTATTCTTTTTTTTTTTTTTTTTTGTCGGTCGTGTGGCCTGAACTCTGGGCCTGGGCGCTGTCCCTCAGCTCTTCAGCTCAAGGCGAGCGCTCTACCACTTGAGCTACAGCGCCACTTCCGGCTTTCTGGTGGTTTATTGGAGATAGGAGTCTCACGGCGGTCTTTCCTGCCCGGGCTGGCTTTGAACCGCGATCCTCAGATCTCAGCCTCCTGAGTAGCTAGGATTACAGGCGTGAGCCACCAGCGCCCGGCTCGTGCTATTCTTTTTGGTGCTGCGCTCATGGACTATGCTCTTCCTCCTCAGACCCACCTTGGCAGCACTTGCAATGTCCACAGCCTCCACAATGTCAGTCTGGAGTATCTTCGCTGTGTCTTCCCCATCCTCCCCTTCTAGAAACCTGAAAGCCAACATGGAAGGCAGTAAAGCTTCTCAATATGAAATCTGCAAACCAATATATAAATGAGAAGTCATGTAAACTGGGGTGAGCAAGGCCCAGATTAGGATGTACTCACCCAGGTTCCTCAACAAGCAGCAGTTCAGAACGAGCAGCTCTGACACTTGCCTCTTCTTCCTCAGCTTCAGCTACCTCAAGTTTGCTTCGGGTTTTGGTCTTAGAATGTGGGATCTATAACATTGTTGATGGGAGATAAATAGAAGTACCTGAGGACATGCAGAGTCACAGGAGAGCCTCCTGGCCCAGTCTCCATCAACCTCATCCAAAGACACTCCTCCTTCAACCCATTCCCACACTCTAACTGGTCCTCACCTTTTTTGATTTGTCAATACGACGGAACTTCTGGGCCTCCTCCACAGGGGCGGGGGCGGGGCCTGGGAATGGGTCCTGGGCCTGGTAAAGGAAAGTGACAATCAACTGGCAAGTTCTGGGTGTCCCCAGAACTCTCACTGTCAAAAGCACAGAGCGTCTTGCTTCACAATCCCATCAGGTCCCAGGCTCACCCCCGACAGACTGCGCTGTGACTTCTTCTGATCACGGGCCTTCCTGGGGACCAGGGGCGTCTTGGAGATCCGAGACTTCTTTGAGACACCACTATTCTTTGGCCTCTGGGGACGGAACTCCTGATTCCTCTTCTTAGCCGGAGGCCCTGGAGAAGCCCCGGTAGCGGTCGGAGTGCTCTCTTCCTCCCAATATCGCCGCGGTTTCTAAGAGCAGATCAGACGCTCCCGTACTCCGTACGACACGTCCCGAACCTCAAACCCCGCAACTAAAAAAAACCCCACCTAGGGCCTCTACCTTTCTCTTGGCCTGAAGTTTGTCTTTCTTGGGTGGAACATCCTTGCCGGGCGTGGGGGCTGTCTCCATCTCGCCCACCCGAACAACGATCCACGTGCAAAAACTCCCCAGAGCAGTAACACCGTCCGCTTTTGCAAACTTCCGGAAGTCCTCTGGCCTTCACCCAATCAGCGCCTTGCCAGGACTGAAGGCATCCAGCCGCCATCCTGAGTGAGGGCATGCCTTTGACAGGCGGGGCCTGATCTCCCGAGCTACAATTTACGACTGAATGGATAAAAGGCCAGTCGGTTGCCAGGAACCAGGATGCAAGTCAGTCTCTTCTTCCAGATTAACTTCATTACCTCACCTAAAGCAGCTCGAGTCCCCTCTCTTTGGTAGAATGACACTCGTTGAACATGTTAGAACTACATTTCCCAGCATCGGTTCCTAAAGCAGCTTCAGGCGTGGTCTTTTCCCAGCATTCCCTGTTTACTTCCGGGTTCTAATACAGACGGGAGAACGTGAGTGGGATAGGGTTTGGGTCGGAGGGTTTGGGGAGGTCCGGCTTCGCTCCTGCTGTCCCGAAGCCGGGATAGTGTCGAGATCCAGGGCGAGGAGAGGCCTCGGTGTTTCCAAGGGTCTGCTCCTCACAAGAGCTGTCATTTCTGCAGGCCAGACCAGAAAAGGGACCTCGGGTACCTTCCTGATCTTCAGACCCAGCGCTCCCCTCCCACTCCCCGCAGACTTTCATCCTCGCCATGGCTGAGCTGATCCAAAAGAAGCTGCAGGGAGAAGTGGAGAAATACCAACAGCTACAGAAAGGTAAGGGGTGTGGCCCCATCCCAATCCACTCAGACCCCAAAGCCTTGTCTAGATAAAGATTCCTGTCCCGTCCCGGTCCTCGCCTGCACTTGCTTCTCGCCTCAGTATTCATTCACCGCTGACTTCGTCAATCTCTACTCCCTCACGTCCATTTTCTTCGGGATGGGATTGTGGGGGTCTCTGACACATTTGATGTTCCTAATCATTTTTCTCCCCCAATACCTCAGACTTGAGTAAATCCATGTCAGGAAGGCAGAAGCTTGAGGCACAACTAACAGAAAATAACATCGTGAAGGAGGTGAGAAACTGAGATTCCGGGGGGGGGGGGGGGGGGGGCGAGAAGGGACTTACCTGTGCTGGCTATGGTTCAATCGGCCGTGTTCTCTCCCTCCATCAGGAGCTGGCTCTGCTGGATGGGTCCAATGTAGTGTTCAAACTTCTGGGTCCAGTGCTGGTCAAACAGGAGCTGGGAGAGGCTCGGGCCACAGTGGGAAAGAGGCTGGACTATATCACAGCTGAAATGTAAGTCTGTCCCACCAACCTGTGCTCACCTCACCTATATATTGTAGTTCTCCATCTGTCCCCAGCAGTCCCGTTTCCCCTCCCCCTCCCTTAGACCTCAAGTTTTCCACCAATGACTTTCTTGCCTTCAGCTCTCTCAATGAGCCCCACTAATTTCAATTTTTCTACTTGTCTTCCTTTCTTCTCCTCAGTAAGCGATATGAATCCCAGCTTCGAGACCTTGAGCGGCAGTCAGAGCAACAGAGGGAGACCCTAGCCCAGCTGCAGCAGGAGTTCCAGCGAGCCCAGGCAGCAAAGGCAGGAGCTCCTGGGAAGGCCTGACCCCCATAGTGGGGGGAAGGGAAGGGAGGGGTGGGAAGGAGGCAGCTTTAGGGACTATATTATAGTAGTTAATAAAATTTTTAAACACCTGGCTTTGTTTTCTGTCCGGCCTCTTCAGTCATATTTCTATCCATTTCTCTAGCCCCTTCCATCATAGACATAATCACTTACATTCCTCCCTAGGTCCCTTTTTTTTTTTTTTTTTTGCCGATCCTGGGGCTTGAACTCAAGACCTGGGTGCTGTCCCTGATCCTCTTTGTGCTCAAGGCTAGCACTCTACTACTTGAGCCACAACACACTTCTGGCTTTCTCTGAGATTTATTGAAGACAAGAGTCTCACTGACTTTCCTGCCCAGGCTGGTTTTGAACCTTGATCCTGAGATCTCAACCTCCCGAGTAGCTAGGATTATATCATTACAGCTACCAGAGCCCAGCTATCTTTCTTGAATCTAATTTGAATGTTTTAAACCAGCTTTTTCCATATATGACATATATGGCCTTTTTTTGGTCATACTAGGGAACTTAGGGTCTCCTGCTTGCTAGACAGATGCTCTATCACTTGAGCCAAACCTCTATCCCTTGTTTTTGTTAGTTGTGGGACTTGAACTCAGGGCCTGGATGCTGTCCTTCAGTTCTTCTGCTCAAGGCTAGCACTTTGAGCTAAAGCACCATTTCTGGTTTTCTGGTGGCTAATTGGAGATAACAGTCTTATGCACTTTCCTGCCCAGGCTGGCTTTGAACCTCAATCCTCAGATCTCAGCCTCCTGAATGGCTAGGATTACAGGCATGAGCACCAGCACCCAGCCAACCCTGACATCTTTTAATTCTTTTCAGCCTCTCTTCCTAGAATATTTTGAATGTGACTTAAAATCCCTTCTAAAATATGTGTTGTCCACAAAGTTGTTCTTTCTCTTGGTGCTAGAATTGTGTCTTACAAAGGTGACCCCAAGGAAGTTCTTCATAGCCATCATTTTCATCTGGTGGCTTCTGCTTCACACGGGTCTATGAAAGGTGAGAGGTAGTAAAGCAACTGAGAATGAAGAGGTCACATGAGGAATGAACTGTTCTGAGGAAACTATTTTTCATACATTGCTTTGAGCTCCTCGTGGGAGTAGAAGACATTGTACCCGTTCATGTTCCCTGGCTCCTACCTGGCCAACTCTCCACCCCCATTCCCATGCCCAGCAACCCGTTCAAGAATGTGTTGCAAGGATAGAGATAAAGTCAGGTAGTGTTTTGGTTTATTATCTTAGTGTCACAGTGACTGTAATCCCCAGAATGGGGAAAGGGAAGTATTAGAACCTACTGGCCATTCCTCTCTGCCCTGGGGCTCAGAGCCTCTAGGCCTTTCCTTCCCCTGCCCTACTCTAGGCCTTTCCTTGGCCCTTCACATGCTAGAATGTGGCAGGAATCAGAAACCAGTGCATTTTCCCATATTATCTGTGTGCCACATTCATCAGAGGTGAGGAGCTGCCAAAGGTATCCATCTTGTGTACAAGATTACCCGCTCCCATATGGGTTTATTCTTAGCAGTTTGGTAAACAAGTGGCACTTCACTGCCCCAGGGTAGCTGGTCACCTCTCAGAATTTCTGTCTCATGAGTTACAACTGCCACCTTTCAAGATGGCTCCCCATATCTGGTATGAACGCCATCTATGACTTCTGTTAAGTCAACAGGGTTTCCTCATCAGAATAGCGCACGTGCAATCTTCCTCCCTGTAGCCTTGATCCGGGGAAAGGAGCCTCCTCCTCCCTCACTTGGGGGAGTTCCTGAGGCAGAGGGGCCGCTGGCAGAGCCCGGAGTGACAGTAGAGGGCCTTCGCCGCCGTAGGAGGAAGTCATGGGATGCTCCATCCATGGCATAGAAGACGTTAGCTGAGGGCGGAATGGTCAGCTCTGCAGGTTCAGAGGAAAGTGTCAAGCAGTCATCAGACAACTGCCCAGATGTGGAAACAATCCACTGATGGTACCACCCCCCCATCCCACTTGCCTTCCCTCCTGCCCTCTGACCTCGCTCCCCTGGTAGCAGCTGTACCAGTTCAAACTCTGAAGCCACGGCAGAATCACGATTGTTTTTCTTAAGGACACGGCTGATGACACTTGGGGCCTTGTCCTGGCTTGTTACCTGGCAGGACAGGAAACCAGAAGAGCAATAAATTGGCCATGATGACCTCTAGTTCCCATCCTTCCAACCTCAGTCACCTACCCAACCAAAAGAAGGTTACCTGTGTCTAATGCTTTAAAATGAACAGGAAACCCAATATGGTGGCTCCCCGAACCCCATAAGCCAGCCCACATGGTGCCCAGTGTAACAAGGCTGCTTCCCTGTGGGAAAACTGCTGTTGGTCCTGAAAGTCTCATAGAACTCCCAAAATACAAGACATAGCTGTTAGTGCAAAGTAGCCACCAAAATAAAACAGCTGCTAAAGCCAAAGGTCAGAATTAAAACTAGAATCAACTCTACTTGGCTGCCCAAACCTGACAACATTTACACTCCAACAAGGCACCCTCCTTTTCCCCCAGCCCCAGCCTCAGGCTCCCTCACCAAGATGCTCTTGTAGACACTGCCATCTTCGCCCAGCTCCATCTGGACTCGGATGATTCGGCAATCAGAGGACCCTGGCCCAGATCCCCCTCCCCCACATCCAGTCCCCCTGAAAGGCCCTTCTCCTGTACCCCCGCTCAGTGGGGAGCCACAGGAGGCTGAGCGGCGGTGACCCCGAGAAGGCCGAGGGGAGGAGGCTGGGGGAGAGAGGTGGCTAGGATCCGTTGGAGTGTGCAAAGAGGGACTGTTTTCCAGGGCAGAGTCCAGAGATGAGACGGATGGCCATTTCATATGCTAGGGTCAAACAACATAGGAACTGTCATGAAGTCAGAGAAGCTAAGGAAGAAATAATCAGAGTCAGGATCAGTGTTGAAATCAGTGATCAAAAGCAGTGCTCACCTGGGCCAACCGGGTGAGCAAAGGAGCAGGGGTTCCAGACACCTCATCGCCCCCTACACTGGGCCTGTCCCAGGCCACAAGGGGGGTGGGGCCTCCAACAGAGCCTAAAACGCTGGAGTGGCAGGAGAGAATCAGAGGAAAAGTGACAAATCCCAAGAAATGCCCCCCCCTCCCCAGCTGCTGCCTCCCTCACTCTGTCCACTGTGAGATGACTAGTGTTGGACGGAGCACCCTTGGAGCCGGAGGATCACTGGTTCCAGATGGCTCCACCTCACAGGACACACGGTGACTGGAGGGGGGAGCAATAGACAGAGGTCAGGACCTGCCACCAATCCCAACATCCAGCCCTACAACCCCAACCTCGCTCAGCTATTCACCTCTGAGCCTCCGTCAGCGGCCGGAGTCCCTGGAGCCATTGTTGGATATCAGAGTCAGGTCGGAGGTCATAGCCTCGACATTCATTCTGGAGCCGCCTCAACTCAGAAAGGACAGCAAACTCCTGGAAAAGAGTCCTCAGGCTTCAGAAGCCAAAACATAAAG